CCCCAAAACCCCAAAACCCCAAAACCCCAAAACCCCAAAACCCCAATAACTATATCTCATATTGAATGCTATAAATTGGGTTCTAAAAATATAACCAAATAGGAAGAGGCTTAATAATTGTTGATAAAGATTAGATGACACATAGAGAACAATGTTGGTACACATTTAGTTACTTCTTAGGAAAAATTATACGATTTTATTACACAAAACATAGCCGATTACACTACTTCTTCAAAGAAGATTTGTGACCTGTTGCTCTTATTTAAGAGAGCAGGACTTCTATTACCGTGGCCAGATGAACTCTTCTTATTATTACTCTTGTTGTTACTAATTTCATCTTTGATATTCTCTACAATATTTTTGGGTCTAAACTCTTCGTTTTCATCAGAAGAGTGTTTGAACATCTCTTTGATCTTTATCTCAGATTCTTGCTGCGGGATATGAACTTTACTTTCTTCATCACTGATGTTGACTGTTCGGATCTTCTCTTTGTCCTTATTCACGCCTAGGATATTACCAAGACTCTTCTTGTAATCTATTTGGCCATTGTCTATGCTAGGTTAGGGGAATTTAGAGAAATTTTAAAGAAAAGTTGAATTTTGCCCGTACTAAATTGATTTTTATGCAAGAGGTTGAGTGCACTTCTATCCCTTTTTCGTTCTTCATGATGCGATTTTGCTTTCTCATAAACGTCAGGATCAATACCTGCTCGAACATATGTCCAGAATGTATGAATTAATTTTATGTTTAGAAGTAATGAAGCTATTTGTAAAATTATGAGGACTATAGTTCCAGCGAGGTCAAGCCCATTTACTTCATAAAGAGAGATCAGGTTAAATCCAAGCCCGATCATTTCGAGACAATAAGTGAGAACTCTGATAATAAAGGAAATTGTTGCAATTCGTATATTACAATGTAGTTTGTAAAGCACAATCCCTATTAGCATTCTTGGAAATGTAATTGCTCAGAGTAGTATTCAAAGGTCGATAAACAAGAAGGAGTGCACATCAATAAGCCCTATTATTAGTCATGCTGAAGCATGAATCAAGAATGCTATGATATCGTACCTATACAGATATAAAACTCTGCTTGGCCATGGCTAATCTTACATTGAGATATCCTTGACTTGGCGTTTTAGGGGCGATTTTCAGAACTGGAACTTTGTCATCAGTCAATTTTAAATCAAATATATAAAGTTTAATGGGGTTTTGGGGTTTTGGGGTTTTGGGGTTTTGGGGTTTTGGGGTTTTGGGG